GTTCGCTTGACTCAATTATCTCTATCTTTCAATCTATCTGCATATCTATCTATCGCTGCCTTTATTTGCAGGGCTTATATACTAAAAAGAGGGCGCCTGGCAAACACTCGGACATTTGCCTCGATAAGTCATGATCCTTCTAGAAACTCTAGCGCGTATGCTCCAAGCGTTGCGTGACTTCCGCTGTCGTAACAATATATATAAATATAGATGATATGTTAATTTTAACATTGTACGATATTATATATTTTGCAATATATGATATGTTATATTTTACAATGTATGACACGTTATATTTTTTAGTGTATGATACGTTACATTTTACAATGTATGACACGTTATAGTTTACAGTGTATGCTTTGTTACATTTTACAATGTATGACACGTTATATTTTTTAGTGTATGATATGTTACATTTTACAATGTATGACACGTTATAGTTTACAGTGTATGATATGTTACATTTTACAATGTATGACACGTTATAGTTTACAGTGTATGATATGTTACATTTTACAGTGTACGAGTGAAACTAGTAATCATTAATTATCATAAGAAAATACTTTAAGTATTATCGTAGCATCGGTCGGATATAAATTGTTTGTGCGTGACAGTTAATAGCTTAAAGATAAAAAGAACTCACACAAATAGTGGAAATAGGAAGAATTTATCAAACCTGTTGGAATTAGAACGTCCTGTTTTCAAAAGGTCACCGGCTTGGATCAGGGCGTCGCGTGTATGCGTCCAACCCCCACGGTAACCAATGCTCTGGAGATCTCGAAGCAAGGTACACATGTTGTTTCCTTGTGTGTTTTTAATATAATCGATATGAGTCTTATGTCCACTAGAGAAGGTAACGACAGCTACGCGGCTCGTGTCAGGAGACACGGTCAACAGACGTGCAATTAGTTCCGCAAAAAGAACTTCATGTGGAAAGTTAGCGGCTCCAATGCTGCCCGATTCGTCTAGAAGAAAAACTACATCGTTTTTAGTCTGTTCGTAGGTCTCTAAAGTACCAAGAAAGGTTTTCAGGTCTTCATCCAAGTCTAATTGACAAGATGATAGCTGTAGAACACAGAGTGTTAATAGAAGAAGGAACGAAAATTTGCATTTCATATTGACCAAAGAAATCTTTCAGTATAACTAATATATTCCACACAGGGCTACTGCACACTAATCAAATGAGAGCTACTTGTGGTTGTCACGAGCTTATAGTAGTGTCTGTGTTATAAGAGTTAGCACTTTATCTGGGAAATCCCCCGGAAGTAAACACATATGCGTACCGATGATAACTAAAGAAGTTTTTGATCAGACTTCTGTCTCTTAGGAAACTGAGCTCATGAAAGGAAATTACTTGTAGCCTTGAGTAGTTGTTAAGATCATTAGAACTGATATCCACCATCGCCTACAACGTCTCTTGTTGTAATGCTACAGTAGCAGTTTGCTTTTATTATTTTTTTTCCTGTTATTATATTGTTTGTTTGTTAAAAACAAAGGTATCGAAACCTGGTTTTGAGAGTTATAAGCCGTTAGACTTACCGCTGAGCCATTGCAAGTGTTCCTTACTATTATTTTCTGAGTATTTATGCACTACTTGCTTCTGCAAAGTTGTGTTTACTATTCGTCAACAGACTAATTTTTTCATTTACGAAAACCAATTCTTTCAGAAATGTTTTAACTTTGTAACCCTTGAGTTTTCAACACATTTCGTTACACATTGCTTATACCACTGCCGTGTGTTAATGTTCGCAAGTAACACGTATATATATATATATAGTGCAGTTGTAAATAACAACAATATTTAAACATTTATATTTTACGTATTGTCTCCTAGCTGGTGTTCCCGTCCCCTGGACGGAGGTTATGTAAATTCATGACTAAGAAAATGTTATCTTATGATATGAAAAGTTGCTTCCCTTATATGTAATTGTAAAAAAACGCCAAAACACAAAATGTGAAACCGCAAGTTTGTATGTAACTCCGCATAGACCCAACAAACCTTCATGCCAAATTTGGTGAAGATCCATCAACAGGGGAGAAGTGGTGGAAAAAA